ATCAATAGTAGCATCAACCGAAACAATGTATGACTAACAAAGCACATGATTAGTATTAATCACATTGGACAGCATTACATGAAGATTTTATTATTACTGATGTCGTGATCGATCATCAATCTTATTACTAGAGTTTCTACGAAACAACGAGCACAAAAGCGATCAGTTCATGCAAGGACTGAATTTTTGACTACTGAAGACTACGTCTGTTAGTCGAGTATATTTCCAAGTTATATGTACAAGATCACAACAATTATACCATACAGCAAAAGTTCCACTGTTCATAATAATAAGTGTACTATTTGGTATAAAAGCATAGTACGATTATAATAGCGTCGCTTTTTGCCGTTATCGTGGCGTAATGAACGCAATACAATATTGCGATTATAGCGTCGCTTTTTGCTTTTCGCCGTAATCGCGTCGCAATGATCGCTATATAATATTGCGATAAATAGCGTCATCATTCTGCTCAATAACGCCGTTTTTTGCCGTTTTGACGATATCGCGGCGTTATTGAATAAAAGAAGACGACATGGGAAGACATTTAAAAACTGTTGTAAAGAAGTGAAGTGTGTTATGAATATATTTCTATATATTGTACTCTCGAGAAATACAAGAGGTTTTATTCTCCAGCTTCGTTTAGAGAAAAAAGATATTTTATTTAAATAGATATTTTAAGTGTGAGTGCTGTGCAAATGATTTGCATCTACGCACATGTTTCTACCCTGCAGGCATAATCAGGTAGTTATACAATAAAAATATCAATGGAATAACTTATTAAAACAAAGTTACTCGATATATATATCATATACTTTGGACAATGTTTACAAATAATATTAATACGTAACTTGTACATGACTAATATGAAAATTTAAAAGTGAAAATTTCTCTTACAAGTGTGTAAGAAAATACTCATCCACGACGTTTGCTTTTCAATGGTTAATCTAAAATTACAAAGAATATTGAAAGAAAAAAGGAATTTCAGAATCGTTAATTTTATTGGTTGAATTTGATTCATTCTACTGAAAGATGGATCATTCTCAGAGTGGGTAATGTTCGTTTCTTATAGAACAAAAGAAAATACTGCACCCTCGAGCTGGACGGAGACTAAGCCATTATAAAATACACAAGTCATAACTTGAAAACATTGCTTGAGGAGTGTGGGTGTGGATGTGGGCATCGGTCTTATCAGAGTCTCAACTGCATCCACATCCCATACCTACTCACACCCAACCTCATCGATGAGTTCATATTCTTGGAGTAACATTACATCCGTGTGTTGTTCATCAACTCGTTCTACAGTGCCAAAAGTTCTAAGTATGTTTGGATGACGACTTAATTTAACGTAGAAAGATAATTCGTTCGACCCACGTGCACCACAAATATGTAAGAGAACAATATCTGGTTCCTGTAGTTTACTGAACCATTCAGCTTCATATATAACTTGATTGCCATTTTGAAATAATGCTTGATGTCGTTTTTTCTTTACATCGACATTCATTTTGAATCCATAATTTTCTCTTTCGGCGTTTTTCTGGTTCCGCCAGTTTTCATTTATTTAACAATATAATTTCGACATGAAGCATGGATAAATATATATTGCCGTATTATAAGACTGGTTTGCTCTCTCTATAATCATTGAATAATAGCCAATCGTTCATAAGTATGCCCCTCGTTAGCAATAACAGGATCAACAAAGCGCGTTTTTGTTATCGAACACTCAAGTAAAACATCTAATAATTGTCGTTCTTGTTGAGCAGTCATCTCGGTTGATGTGATATAAATCTGAAATTTTTAAAACGTATGACCATAAGAACTTTTCCTGCATTGCTTGATAAATACTGGCAAAATTATGAAAAATAAATTTATGAAATAATCACTTGAAAACTTCTGTACGGTCATTATTTTTTCTCAATTGCATTGCATCGAGAAAAGAAAATCTGGCACCCTTATGCCTTTCTGTGAAATGTCCTTAGTTGACTTTTTTAATAGAACAAACGCAAGAATAAATGTCTTTTTTCTTCCTTTCGTGTAATTTCAGCACGATAAGTGCTATTATGAAAGATATAAAATACATACTGTTACTGAATGGTCGTATGGCAACAGATCGATAACATAATTAGAATATTAATGTCTACATATTGTTGGAATACTGCCTGAAAGTCATACAATGCCCATGTGGTGAAAATCGCGCAAAAATCGGCGATTTATCGCGATTTGTCATGCCGATTAATTCTGAGATTATATCGCGATAAAATCGTCACATTGAGCGTTTTTTAGTGATTTTTGGCGATTTTTAGCGATTTTTTTCCCGATTTTTTCAGAAAAATCGCAATTATTCCGCGATTTTCTTCTAATCAATGAAGATAGTTCCCATGAAAAAAAGATAGAAAAAACAACTTCTTTTTCAAGACTTGATGCCTATAGAACGAGTCTGTTAACGTTCTGTGAGAACGACTTCGTCCATCGATATACATTCGTGCTTACTCAGCGCGTTCCAATTCGCTTTTTATCACCGTAGAGCAGATTCGATCAGATGAACATACAATTATACTAAACTTACGTATATGTGATGCTGATGAATTTTCTAGGTATATTCGACAAAACTTTGTTAACCACGAAAATTTTACTAGTAAAAGCTAGGGATGTCATTTTCCTGTTACTTTAAAATAAATGTATAAAAATTTTTTTTTTGATAATTTACATTTAAAAATAAATTTGAATGGTAGAAATTCATATTTTAAAATAAAACCTATTTCTAACTAACTTTATTTATAATTTAAATCATTACAAAATTAATTTATTTTACATAAAAATTATTGTTATTCATATCTCTCTTTAAATATAAATATTTTTTAGAATCTATATTTTAAAATGTAAATATGAAAAAAATAATTTTTTATTCAATAAATCCGTAAACTAAAATATAAGAATAAATTGATACCCCTTGGTCATTTTTAATGTGAAAGTATATTCCACTACTTTGTTAAGATAAGTTTTTTAAGAATATAAGGAATCCACTGGTCATAGCACTTATACAAGTAATTTTAAAAAGAAACAAATTAAAAAGAATAATTTAAAGGTGGGTGTGAGTGATAGAAGATTGATTTTCACTTCCAAATCACATCCCACACCTACACGTACCTTTTTTGTCAAACGTAATCTGAACCAAATCAAATCCAATCGGACTTGTGTGATTCTTTGTGGTCTCTAATTCTTAATAGAAAGTAAAACAGATGAGTAATTTATAAATTTCTCTGGATGAAAAATGAACAAAATTTATTGTGAAGTGAGAATATATATGAAAGAGAAAAGAAAAGAAAAAGTTGAGAATAATCTCCTTTGTCAATTGACTGCACGAATGTCCTTGAAAATGTTTTTAAATTAGTTGGGATGATTGAAAGAAGCTGCCTATGCATAACGGTCGAAAATTAATCATCGTTTGTATGGATATTAAGCAATAAATATTTTTGTTCAAATTAGTCAAAGATTTGTGATACAAGTCAATCATTGTAATAGATTACCTAATTTAATATGACACAATTCGACTGAACAAAAACAAATTCATTTTTTTGTTTATCTAAACTAATGAACCGATAATTGATGGGTCAGAAAATTGTCTTCTAGCATATTATAAAGCTTTAGAAATTTTTTTCGGTGAAAATATCTGAAAATCCGCAGTTGGTTTCGACCAATCACAAATCTCAAAATAATCGACGATTTATGATGATAGATCTGCATTACTCAAAAATCGACGATCAATCGCGATTAATTGGCGATTTTCCAAAATACTAACGATTAATCGCGGTTATGAAAAAAATAGCCAATTAATCGCGATTAATCGTTAAAACTTAGGCGATTTTCACGACATGGGTGGAGTATATAATTTCAATTTGAATTTACAAAAAAATACCCGATTTCAAAATGAAATGGGAGTCTAGGGAATCTTTAGCATTATTCATACATATATGTAAACTAAAGTCTCCCTTAGAATACATCTCCATGTAGTCGACACTTTTTTATGGTCCCTTTTTCATAAATAACCTTTCTATAGTGAACAGTGGTTATGAATTCAAAAAGTATGTCGAGGTGACAGTCATTACTCATTCAACATAATAACTCTTCTTTATTGATCGGACGACAGAATGAAAAGAAAACATACATTTCAGTGAAAAACAAAACAACACGACCTTTCTCTTGAATAAGTGACGGGGCCATATAGAATCGCGTTGTAACATTTGTGTTAATTTTCTCGCAATGTTAAGAGAAAGAGAACGTGATTTCGAATCGACAAGCATTATCTGTAGAAGAAAAAATTGTACTCATCAGATGCAATCAAAATGATCATGATTTATCAGTACAAAAACTAGCAGACAAATACAATATTTCAAAAATTTGTGTGGCTAACATTCTACATCGTCGAGAAGAATTCTTCGTTGATTATGACTCAAATTCGAACAAAGGAATAAAACGAAGGCATAAAGATAAAAGTGGACAAATCATCAATCAACTCGTATTCGAATGGTTTACTGTTTCACAAGCCATACGGATTGATATTTCAGGGCTGTGCTGCAAGAGAAAGCAAGGGGATTTGCCAAAGAGTTAGGACATCTATCGGTGTATTCAAAGCTTTAAATGGTTGCCTAGTGAAGTTTCGTAGGGATGTGGATGGGTGTGAGCATGGATCTTCGCTTCAATAAGACCTACACTTTCAGATTAATACAAAATTTTGAAGCCATTTCTCTGAAGTTTGGAGAATTGTTTGAACTTTCCTTTGTTTTTGAAAGATCTAAACGTATCTTGAAAAAATACCGAAACTCAAGAATCTATTATGGACTTGAAATTAGTGCGAACCTGGCTTTATGAGAGGGTAGTTCTTGAATTTCAAAGTATATTTTTATATTGTTCTTATTGGCTTTTTCAATGAATAACAAGATGTTGCAAAATCAATGTGTAACTATGGCGATAATTTGACAGAAATAAGAGTTTAAAAATGAATATTAAACATCATTGTGAGCATCAGTTAGTTTAAAAACACTTTCGAGAAAAGTACTCAACATCTTATTCTTCGGATCGAGTCGTGCACGTAAATCAAGAAAATCTTTCCACTTTGGTATGAGACGTTCAAAATCGTAGATTTCCGGTTGAAAATGTTTTCCCCAATGAGGTATGCCACCGAACGGAGCAAGAATCATCTGTAGCTCGTGCATAGTCCTCATGCTATCATCCCGTACACTTCCGTCTTCAGCCACGTAGACAAGAAAGCCTACATAACAAACGGGACCCGTGTAGGATGGATTTAGCCATGCTTTTGACTGTCCTGTTGCTCGAAAAATGAATGGATAGTGAAGACGTTTTTTATACATGTCAGCCCATGACTTGATAGCCAATGTAGCTTCACGTGCATCTTTGAGTGGTATAGCAATTTCACAGTTAATCTGTGGTATTGGTATGCCCTTGCAAAGGATCTGTTCCAAATAGCCAATAACATTTTTGGCATTGGCAAAACGCTTTAGTGTCTCAAATTGAGGTTGTGACGATTCTTTTGCAGCTTTCATATCCAATGCCATCGATTTCATGTACTCGTCTATTGTGTCGTCTATGGAATGACGTTCGTATTTAGATTCCAACAAAGCATCACCTGATGTAGCTAAGAATTGCTGACGTTGTTTCTCGCTCGCTGCATCTACAAACCATACGTGACAGAAACCCGTCTCTGGAAACCACCAGACCTAATAAAGATGAACGTTTTTGGTTAGTGAAACTCTTCTCTTAAAAATTTTAGAATGTTGGTTACAAAATTTTTTATGGTGAATCACTAAAAATATTTACTGACCTTAATACATTCGCTTTCTTCATTCCACTTGAGATAATCAGAAATCAGAGTATCAACTTTGCAAGTAAACTTGCGACAGGAGAAGATACGTCGAGGGGCATGAGCTATTTCGACTTGGACCATAATACCAAGAGTGCCCATTGCTGTGACGAACGCTTGAAGAGGATAGTCAACAGTATGTTCATCAATAGTTACCACTTTTCCACTTGGCAAGACTACTCGAAGTGATCTGATAATGTCCGAATAGCTCGATTGATAGATACCTTGTCCATGAGTGCCCGTGGCAATCGCGCCAGCAATTGTTTGAATACCAATGACGCCTAGAGAACAGGGCAACATTCGATGGTGACTGGCGAGGATTGTAATGATGTCGTTTATTGATGTTGCGGCACCGAACACGGCTGTTTCCTTCTTCATTTCTATGAGACCATGAAAATGTTTCATTGATATCAATTTCGCTTTCGGATCATCAAGTTGGATTGACATGAGTTTTTCGAAACTGAGACCGGTGCCCATTACTGTTAACTAAGAAACGACCAATATTGCTTTTAAACAGTCTCATAAAAGTGCCAAGAAAAATCAATTAATGATCTACTAATAAGGATAACTAATTAAGACGGGCATTTCACCTCGGTGTTTTTGTCCCTCTTTCACAGAAGTATTTTTGCTAAAGCGCCAGCAACAATGTATTTTTGATAGACTTTGGCCAGAGATGTCAACTAAGAGAGACGTTCTGTCAAAAAATGCGAAGACAAAATTTTTACAAGATATTCTGACGAGTGACAATAATCGGGTGTTCTTTTGGTCGAGTAGAATTCTAATTTTAATATTTGAAATAATGCCATGAAACTTCTAATAAATTAAGTTTCGAAATTTTCTCAAAAAATCTCGACAAAAACCACCGATAAAGTTCCTTTTATGTCCTCTTCGGAACTATTCCTTTTTTTTGTTTCAATACTTTCTCCGAGAAGCACATTCCTCAAAGGAAATTATTCCAGGTTGGAAATTCCAAGCAGAATTCAGTATGCAATTGGTATTGCTGCTCGAAAACAGCGTAGGTTATACACTATGGAATTGGTTGAAGAAAGCTAATGCACATCTATTCACTACATTATCCCACATAATGAACGAATTGTTTAGCATGGTACAACCATAATGGAAATATAGCAGAGCGATTGAATATCTTATCAGAAGAACAAATTCGACTGCATGTCTATAAGCATCGAAAATGTCACATTCGATCAGAGTATTTTTTTTTCGAGTGCTACACCTACTTTTGATGCCGCTGTTCGAACAATATGAACCAATTGATTGACATTGTTTGGTCGCACTAATTGAGGTTCTCGGGCAATCTCATGAATACCCGACCAGTTGTAGATGATATTTTTTTGAGTTTCCTCAGCAGTCTGTAGAAAATTTGCTGAACGTGAAAGACGTCGTGCATACATGGTTTTGAGTCTCGAATCATTGCTTTGAGTTGGTTCAGCTGCGATGCCTTGCTGGAAATGTACTGCAGCAACGGTGGTACGACGTTTATTGATGGTTGAGGTCGATGTTGAATCTTTCAAACCGCTCTTCAGTTCCGTGACTATCTCACTGAATGAATGCGTTCGAAAAATCCGTTTATTTCTTGTCGAATATGCAGTGCCATATATGTCACTTAATAATTGAATGTATCGTTTGCTGTCGATCAATGAATAGTTGTTCGTTGTCATCTTCTTATCACCACTTTTTCTTAGTATTACTTGTGTTATTTTTCGTTGTGTGCACAAGTTAAAAAGTGAGCTTGATAATATGAGGAAGACGCTCAATGTATGACTAAAATATGAGATTTTTTCGTTTCTTTTCTTTTTGGTCTATTGATGTATGAAAATGCATGCTTTCAGGGAGTATACATTGGCTAATCTTACAACTCACTCAGTTTATCAGAGGTCTAAAACTATCGAGTGGTGGATAACAAAGAAGACGATGATGAACTTTTTGACCACTCGCCGTCACGTGGAGGTAAGCGGTATGTCACATGTTTTCCACTATAAATAATACTTTTAGAGACGAAAAACAAACATTATTCATCATCATCACTGATATCATACGGTACTGAACCTTTTTCATTTGATGACAACGTAGCTTTACTTCCTAGCTCCCATGATCAATTTTCGAAACCATCATTCTACGACCGAGAAAAAATGTGTTGCTAAGTATAATATAGTAAATAGAATAACCAGCATCTTCTCTATCAATCAACACAATCTAAATGATTAACTATTTGTATTTAGGCATAAAAGAGATTTTGGGGATCATGCATCATAATTTTTCTAAGCTGGATGGTTTCAGAAGTCTTTCTAAATATAATATTACAATCGAAAATACATTTTCATCCGGATCAAATGGAGACTATCCTCAACTCTCACCATGTAGTCAATAAGAAAAGCAACAGAATTTTTTTTCTCCATTATAGACAGTGTTGAAACTCAAACTGTTTACCTCGTGTTGTGTTGCAGTTATTCAAAAACATTTGTTGCCGATTAACTTTGCAACGAATATTATTTATGTATTTAACTACCTATCTAGCGTACTATTCAACTAGTTATCTAGTTACTTAGCTATTTGCTTAAACATCTTCTTTATTAACTATCTGACTATCCATCTCACTATGTAATTATTTAACTAGGTAGTTGGTGAGCATAGCTTTGATTGATAGATAAAATATCAAAGTATTAAAATGTCGCCAAAGCAAATAAGTCAAAGTGAGGCATGAAGATAAATAAGATTTTTCTTCCATATTTTTATCATTTGACGTGGGTATCATTTGACATTTTTACTTTCGATATCAATTAGATAAATCTATTTAGCTACCTACATACGAAACCACCTATATATCTGTTGATCCACATATACTTCTAATTGACTATGTAAATATTTATGTGTCCTATTCGTCTATCTACTTATCCGTTTATAAAAGCAGTGAAAAAAAGAGATAGATTGTGAATATGACAGACGAAATAAAAAAAATCATTTAAATAGAAAAATGAAGCGAAAAGGTTGTGGCAATTATATGAAAGTTCAAAACGAGTTATGTTGATCATGAAGAGACACATAAAAAGTATTAAGTTTCATGCCTGTGATGACCTTTTCATTTCACTTGAAAACGAGATTCAGACACAAGAGAAAGAGAGGAAAGAATTAAGCTCAGACACGAGAATGTTGCCTTTAAAGTCTATTCTTTTTTTCTTCACTTCTACAGTCATTTATTATTAACCTGAATATATGAGAAAACGGAGTAAATCAACCAGATTATTCTATGAAGATGAAAAATATTCAACATGAGCGAGCTTAAATGTGAAAGCAAATCGAGGAAAGATTAGATATAATGAGATAGAGTAAATTGTGCATCTCACGCATGTTATCGTTATTATTAAAACTTGACT